CAGCCCTAGGTCTCTGCGTGGTGGCGTGGGAGAGTTGTGTTCCACTGAGAGTATAGGGTGCCTTGTTGGAGTCTGGGGTGCGGAAAAACGTGGCTTGGCACTTATCCAACATCAAAAATCCGAATTCAGGAGGCTGAAATTGTTTTAACTTCTTGATGTTACTCATTTGTTATTCACGTATGTCTTGTGGCTCCTCTTTCCATCTTCACTAGCCAATTTTTGACATTGTCAGATGAGGCGTTTGATGCCTTGAAACGTCTGAGTCATCTAATGTTCAAGAGTCTGGATTGATGCCCGTAACAGCAACTCCTCGAAGCCTTATCTGGATCAAGTGAACTCAAAGCGTGTTAGAATGCTAATCCGGTAATTAATATACTTAGATCCAAAATCCCACTCCGATCACAACTCCTAGGTACACTTCAATACATTGTTTCGTACCTCCTGACCGCTGCTTGTCACCAAATGTCCCAACCAGTACCACATGGTATAACTTCAAACGTGCATCCTTCCAGTTATTACAATGGTACTATACGTGTGCGTCGTTTAAACATCCTAAACCCATCTTTGTAACATGAATAAATTCATTTCAGCAGGTAAATTAAGTGGAAAACATGCTGTTTGTAACTGATTTGTGTGCCGATACATCGAAAACAATGGAAGCAATGAATCAAGCAGGCGACCAACGGAGGTGGTTCGACAAATGCAGCATAAGTGAGTGAAATTTATGAGATATGAACACCCGACATGGCTTGCTAGGATGGCAGGAAATGATGTCCCAGTGACCAAGAGACCAAGCCTTCCAGTTGGTGACAAATTCGTAAGTTACGAGCTCAACCAAACCCGTAGGACGCCCACAGTGAATTGATATGCCTGTGTGATCAGGGCCGATAGTGTTTCCGAAATGGAAAGTGGTACGTTATGCTATTTCAGTACCCAATGCATTTAATAAATCGGTTGAAGTGGCTTCTAAAGCGTTAAGATAAAATCAACACACTTCATGAGGTGTGATTACAGGCAACACCAGCTGTACAGTATTCACGTAGCCTTAGGTGTGGATCGGAAATACGCCTTCACTCCGAATAAGTCCATGATTTCCCAGTTTATTTGCTTCTATTTAGATCAAATAGAATACGCTTTCTATGCTGGAACCAAAATCACCTGCAAGCCCATCTTAATTTCACACCTTGAGGTTTAACGTTAACTGCATATACCAACAAAACGCTGCTTCCGATTTTTTCGCATGCGACAAAAACACAGAAATGCATTGGTTGCATTTAGCACACGACAAGATGTAAAAGAAGTGGTAGAACACTCAGTGGACAACGAAGGGCATGCTGATCAATGCCTGTTCTCTTGACTTGGCTGGCCCAATAATGACATGATGTAAAGGCTACACCTAAAAGATATCTTGAGTACAAGCTCTCCAGCGAGCAGCTTGGTTTTCGGATACAGGTCCCAGCGCGAAAACGCCTGCCAGCTGATGAGGTGCATTTACGTGACATTTGAAAAAAGCACTCGGCGCGGATTTCCCGAAGATACTCAAGATTTCAATCCAGCGCAGTTTTGGTCCCTGGTATAATCTGGCGTTGGCCGGAGATGTATTGCATCACGCCACCCATGATCCGCCAAGTTAGGCTGCATGGACGTGAAGTTATGATGAGGATGCTATGAGGTAGGTTGCGAAGAGGAGAGCGCTGACGTACGACGAACGGTCTTAATGATATGGAGTCATTTTGCTTTTTGAGGACATTCACTTGTGCTGGTCTGTCTCAGTTCCAAGCATCAGAAAAAGCTAGCTTGACACAACGTCCAGATGGTCTGGTGTTCGGAAACCAGGGCCCAACACAGTTAGATTTGGTTGGACATGTTCCGGTTCTCCTTCGATCGACGTCTATCTGCATAATCAGTCTATGAAAATACTTGCTCCGACCACGTTCGCGACCTTTGGCCAAGGCATTCAGGTGAATTTACATTTCTCGAAAAGATTGCATTAATAAACCTGCTAGGATGAAGTATCCGTTACTTCTTCGAAGATGCCAAGCTGCCACCCGACAAGACCTTCATGGTCCCCTGCTGGAATACCGTCCACTTATTTTAAGTGGCATACGCGTTGACGGCAAACGAAAACAGCTAGTGTCCAAAGATATTTTACACCTAGATTACCAAGATATGGTTGCAAGCAGAACTACAAGTCTCACTACACGACTACAAACCTCGAGCCACTTTGGATAAGACTACCCAAAATCAGCCCCGCGCTTTTCTTCAGTGTGCTACACGGATATACCTTTCCATTCAGCGTTGAGTTCCAGTCAAAACACAACGTTTACTATGATATGCGCAGCCACGCCCGCAGCGTCACGCCGAAGCTTTCCAGGTCCTCCTGTCATGGGGATTTCCCCACCATTTAGTCCCCTCAGATTTGAAAAAAACTCCCATTGAAGGTGAGGCCTCTAGGTGAATCCGAGGAGGTAGCAGGTCACAACGTATTTTACCATCCTCTGGCAGCTTCCCCAGGTTACCGAGTGCAACGTCATCATCTGTGGCACTAAACACATGGGCCTAATGAGACGCCTACCAGTTGCGGTACTTAGTATGACTGTGAATCCTTGATGAGAACTGGTCAGGGTATACATGAAATCAATAGTTCCGGAATCAGTGAAGTACAATATCAAAACACCATTTGACGTGGTAAATTTGTGAAACATTTGTGGCAAACCTGTGGTATCAATGAACAACACCGTGTGAGATCAAAATTACAAAGATACCTCAGCAGTGTCACTGTGCAACTACATAGCCCGAAAACTTCCCTGGCACGAAATATACACTATATAGTAATAAATTGATCCACCAAATACAATCGTAGAATGCCTGAGAATCAATAAGAGTGTTCCTAATCTAGTGGGATCGAAACTCTGTCTGCAAGAATCACATCAAACAAACGTTCCAAGCGGACAGTCAAAAGGCAAGCGGTCAATTTACAACCGTAAGTTGAACCAAAACAAGATGTCGGGAACAGCAGAATGCCGCCATGTCGTCAACAGTCCAGCATCATACAAAGCGGAGCACGGGACGACTATCAATCAAAACAAAGACTGACGGTAGATGCTAAGTCAAAGAAGATGAGCAAATGACAAAATAATATTACGTCATTTAGGGTTAAGAGACAATATCAATAACAGGGGGGAAAATACTCAAATAATACCAGTAATGTCCGATAGAGTGCTTAGGAGGTATTTTGAAGTATTTTACTCCGTTGTATTCATTATCGGCTCCTAGTGGTAACCAACAGATATGGAGGGACACTATTGTGAGGATATCTGTTGGCACTGGTTCGTCTTCATGCCTTTTCCCTTTGTGTAGCAGAGACGAGGGAGAGAGCACTTCCATGCCGTTCTCTGGGTGACTTCCAGACAGAGCGCCGCCATGGCATGACTAGCGATGGTGAGGGGGTTTTGAGCCAGTGCAGTCTTTCATAATGAGTTGTGGGTGGTGACAATGTGCTAGAGTTCCATTCTTTTGCTTCACTTATTGTGAATCATACCACAGATCTTCCCATACAGTCTGCTAATTTCAATAACACCTGATAGCCCTCTGTCGAACGTCTGGCTCCACATGTCTCTTGCCCCAGGCTGAGTCGGGGTATTAACATTTTCCACCGTGATAATTGGTTGGTGACCGACTATCAACAGTGGGCATATTACTTGAAGTAGAGGTTGATTCTCCTTAGTATCACTAGGAGCTTGTCGGTAGGCTCCATATCAATTTTTTTCTATATGATATGTCGTCTTGACCATCTGAGATAGCCGTGGTTTGGCAGAATAATACTTATGGTGATGATTGAGGGTGAAATGAAAGTTTGGAGCATGACTAGATTCAAAGCACTGACCTGCGGGTTCCCGGCTCAGCGCTTTACTAACCGAGCTACAAGATCATCGGGCCGGAGACTCGGTAGTTGCTGGTCCGAGTCCGACTGCGGTCCAAACCTTCATTTCACCTTCAATCATCACCTAGCACGTGTAATGCATAACGCACAGTAGTGCAGTATTATTTGCTTGATAGCATTTTGGGCATAAATCACTGCTCACAATCATATCTCTGTGATCACATTGCTTTCGATATCTGATTTTCGTAGTCTTGTCACCTCGTATTCTCCGTTTTAATTGGCAGTAAAACTTTCAATATCTCTTTTGTGTTGCATCATTCCTGACTGCCAATTATTGAATCTTTTTTCATCGAATTCATATTGAACAAACGTGATCAGGAACGATGAAAAAAGTATACCAGAGATGTAGGAAGTTTTACTGCCAATAAAAGCCAAATGTATGAGATAACGGAACTATGAAAATCGGACGTTGGAAGTGGCGTGACCACTAGATGTGACTATGGGCACTAGATTACGCTTGAAATACCATCGAATAAATGATACCGTATCACTGTGCGCCACATATAAAGTAAACAAATCTAATATTGAACTCCATCCTAACCCAGTCCCAAAGTTTTACACTTATAGAAGTTAAAAATTCTCCGTCTACACAATACGCGGGAGCTTGTGGTTTATCCCTTTCAAATATGGCAGCAAGTTGAGCACACGTTTCTTTTAATTGTTTTCTTGCCATGTGGGATCGTCTGAAACTTCTAATCTTATTTTCTCCCAGTGCGAATGAATATTTGGCAGTACAAAAGGCAGTGCTATTAATTGCATAGCAAGAAGTACCCTCCGAAATTTCCATGGGCAGCAGATGACCTAGTACGTCTAAAAAACAAACTATTGGAAAGGCTGAAAGGCTGAATGCTGACTTAGGTGCAGCTGAGCTCATAAAATATACAGGAAAACGTTTGAAGAGTGTACTTAACTAACTCGAAGACTTAGGTCACAGAAAAGACTTAAATCGAGATTTCATATTGGAAAAAACAATATGTTCAGTGGTTTGTCCTCTATTTCTTCACGAAGACATTAGGTACATGAATAAGTTTTTTGTTTTACAGCAGCAATTCAGTTCATACTGTCAACGCGCGCGGTACAGATTATTTGGACATAGTCGAGATGTCGTTGTTCTCTTCTCCTGCTCTCAACAGCTATGTATCCAATGCTGCAACATTTATCACAAAATCAATCGAAACCAAGGTTTTTGATGATGGGGGTTCAAAGGGCACATTTATTGTAAGTTAACATCGGGTCGTATGGAGTGTAGACCATGAATTTCCGGTGTATTATTATGTGTTTCGAGTGTTCACCATAAGCTTGATAAAATAGCCTACAAGTTTTCTATGTTGTGATTATGCAGATCTTTTTTATGGAGTCATGCTTACGACACATTTAATGGTGATAACTTTAGTAGTTATCTTAAGTAAATATACGCACCACTTTTGTTGCATTGCATTAAGACAATCAGATTAGTTTATGATCAGGCTGGAGGAAGATTTTGATGTCCTTCTAAGCCTCAGTCAACCATAGCAAATCAACCTAATCTCCAGTGTTTCATTTGTTACTGTGAAGTAGTTGCATATAAGCAATTTATGTTCTTATGTTCCATACTCATGTTCATGATCTCTATTTCATGTCTCTTGTGATAAATATAATTTCTGTCAAGTTCGAATTTGCTTTAAATTGCAATGGTTTTCCATCAGACTGAAACTAGAGAGCGTGGAGACTTACAGAATGCTTGGTATAACTGATAAATAAAATTGTGTGGTCAATGGTGGACTTTGCTGAACGTGTAATCCTATGTTGAATTGTCTATTCAATATAGTACACAGTGATATAGTGTTGTTTGCCAGCTAACATTTTGAACAGGATTCATTGCTCATAATCTTATTAAAGGGCATATTTACAGACCTTATCACTAAGCGTCTGAGTCTATCTTCAAATGTACTCCAGTAAGATGTCATCCCGTATGGAGGCTTATTCATTATTATATATTGACGCCTTATCTCCAAGCTGTAAAACTCCATGCTGAATTAACATGTAGAATATAATCTTTCTGTATAATTCGACCTAAATTCTAATATAACTTAGGCTCATATCACGGAATTACCACAATCGAATTATAGTAGAAACACCTGAAGCCATGAAAGCATCCTGCCACCTTCACGAGGCTAGTGTACGTGTACCTTTCCACCTAGGTTCGGTTTGAATAATTTGGTCGACAATTTCTGAAGTTTGTTTCTCACAATTTACTGGTCTAAGTTTCCCGTTACTGTCAGATTTTCGTTAGAAGTAGGCGCTCTGCTTAACTTTGTTTATTATTTTAATAGGAACCATTTTTTCATGAAAGTGAATATCTTGTAACATTAGCTGATCATTGACACTGCTCTGAACATTTCTACTATCTTTTTTTTGGTACCCACTACTTCCTTACTTTGACAAGTGTTTTATGTCATATTTGTGACTTCTCCTCAGTGTGAATTAGGTAGTTTTGACTCTGTCGTTTTAACCTATGCTCCAATCTATTATATATCAGCTCTGAAAATTTATCTTTTTGACTAGTTCTGCAACTTCATCATACTATACATGGGTTCTTAACTGACATCATTGTATTAAAGTTTCACCTCTTGACGATGGCCCAGTCAGCATCCAAACCAGTTTCTTCAGGTTTTCAAAAGTATGTACGTCATAAAAAATACCGTGCTTTTATGGATCTCTCAAACACAAGTATTTTAGTTGTGTTTGGTTCAATGTATCTGAACTGTTTTGAATATTCTTGCCATATCTTAAAGATAATAGTTTGTTTCATACTGCGAAACCATCCGAAATCTATATCTTAAAGTGTTTTACTACCTCAGTATGAGAATGATGGTCATACAGATTATTTTGTCAAGTGTCATTAGATAACTACAAATACCTCCTTGCTTATCTCTACACTTTCTCAAGATTTAGTCTTCATTTCTGCACTAAATAAGATGTCTTTTGTGAATGGCTTAAGACGCAGAAGTTTACGATTGTTCATACTAGATCAATTAGTTATGAAATGAGACTTGAGTAAACATCGAACGTACCATTATGTTTAGAGATAATCTCCCAGACAGAAAGATGCTTTTCAGCTGCCAACCAATTAAGACGGCTGACGTCTGAAATGAGGGTTTGTTTTGTATATCAAAGATTCTGAAGATTCGGCTACTTAAAAAGTCAGAATATTGCGACATTCTAGCCAAAGTTAAACATACAAACACTAGACAAGCGAAGTCTTGAGAAGTTTTGGGCGTTAACTACTCATAGGTATCGTAAGTTGGACATCACTGACTACTGCGCAACACATACAAGGAGGATTCATCGAAGAATATAGAAGTAAAACTTGGGCACTGTGGTAGACTTTGGTTTAATTTTAGTCTCTTGATTAGAATTGTCAAACAGTGAAATAATATTATTTGCTGAATAACATTCTGGATATAATTTATTGTCCATATTCATATCAAGTGATGGGGTGGCCTGGCTTATGAACATTAACGATACCACAAATTCTACAATGATTACTAGTTTTTGGCATTAAATCAAACCATTTTGAGTCACCTAGAAACGGTCTTATTCAGAGCATCAGATCGCCTATGGATTTCTGAACATTATTCATGACAGTATTCACTGGTTTCCCAATTGTTTTTCCAGATGGTTCTGTTTCTAAATGTTCATTCACTCTGAAGATGTAGTCAGATTTGTTGACTTACATTTTTACAGTTCGGTGCTTACTTCTTTCAGAAGTCTGTGCTGGTGCTGCTAACTAGAATGACAACAATAGCTCCACGATTAGATCATCATCATCACCAACACCATCAAAACACACATGTATACATTACTATTATCACCATTATTTGTCTCTTGGGTTCCTAATGGAACATACAGCTTCACAAGCACGTCTCCATTACACTCTCTTCTCTCAAATCTTTTCAACCTCGCTACACAACAGCCCACAAACTCTCATTTATTCCTCACACAATCTCATCCATCTCACCCTCACCTCCAACGCCCAACTCGTCAATTACCATCCAACTTCCACTCCACCAACTGGCCTGGCCTGATGTCACCAGTCCACCTTCTCACTGTATGCCCAGTCCAATCCACTTCCACTCCCTCACATTGCATATTTCTTCAGCAATAAGTTCTTGCTTCGTTGATTAGTCACCAGCCAGACAAACTTCCTTCTTCCACATTCTTTCTGACCATCTCATCTCAACTGATCTTCAGCAAGGAGTCAGTGTAGGCAGCAGTTGTTGATCAATGTCTCTAGTTTCTTGGAAATGCCTTTCGTGACGCACCAAGTCTCTCAACCATCATATAGGAGCACTGACTTGACTGACTGTATTGGTGTTGAAAATCTGGATGTTGTTCACACTTTGTGCTGAGTGGAGTGCAGAAGATCTCCACACTGGTTTGAGGTTGATGAACGCCTGTCTTGTTGTCTTTCCAATCCTGGCTAACTTTGAAGTTCTCATCTGTGCCGCTACCTGTGGTTGAAACGACGTTGCCTAGATAGGTGTTGTTGAAGGAGGCTACTTCCTTTAGGTTTCTCGTATTGATGATGATTGGAGGTTGTTGTTACTGTTGTTGTTAGTTGGGTATCTTCATCACCTCTGTCTTTTCTACGTTCACTTGCAGTCCCGTCTTCGCTACCCAGCCCTACCCTACCCTGCCTCTTCTGTCAACTTGTTAGTTTTCGCCTGTAGATCTTCCAGTTTGTGTGACATTAGGCATGAGTCATCGGCGAAATCCAAATCTTGTAGGATCTTTTCCCCGGTACAACCAGCTTATCCCCCTCTTCTCACTCCTCCCCACTGTTTGTTGCATGATCCAGTCCAGTCGACCACAATCAGGAATATCGTAGGTGATAGTAGGTGGCAGCCTTGTTTTACTCCTGTCTTCACTTCACTTTGAAGGCATCACTGAGCTTCCCATTGTGAGTTTATATATATACATATATATAATATTACTACTTCATCCGCCTGGTATGAAAATGGACAATAATTTATGTCCGAAACGTTATCTAGTAAATAATATTGTTTCACTCTGCGACATTTCTAATAAGCAGACTTAAATGGAATTTACCGAAGAAGGATAAGAATCAGAGGAATGCGGCTAGACATAATTTTTAAGCATACCAAATGTACGAGATAAGTTAATATGGCTAGACCCTAACATGAGGTAGTATAATTAACTAAGGTAATATTTACAACGCTAATTACCTTATATGATATAATGTAAGCATAAACTTCTCTTCAATACGATCTACTATCCTACTTGAAATTAATTTTGTAACTAAAATCATTCATGACATATTATACTGATTATGAAATACCGGTGAAGAAAAGACCTGATAGTCTAATCACACTGAAAGAATGACTCGTTAACTATTCATTTCATAATAAATGGCATACATATATGGTTTGACTAATAGATTAGATTACACAGTTTCAACTTAATCAAAGTTTTGATTTCTTATTCATGAGGGAAAATTGATTCAGGTAAATTCCTTATGACTTGAAGGCATTTGATTTTGTATAGAAATGACATAACTTATCATTTTACCAATGTTATAGTCTTAGAAACAATGAATGAAGTTTTAATTGAATCATAACGCTTACTATTCTCTTTAAATAATTTTTATCATACCAAAGAAGCCAAGTTACGATGACAAAGGTGCAACGATGTTCAGAAATCAAGCAGATTTTCTGCTTTGAATGATGTCAAAGAAGGGGCTATTTGTTAATAAAACAAAAACGTTCCACAGGTTTCTAATGAAAAGATGATGGTTAGTTAGACCATAGCGAAGAATGGGTCTGCGATTAACTCACATAGCAGACGACTGGAACGATGGGTGAAACACTTGGAGGGACAGTTTAATTGGTCTCCAGCTACCATTGCGTTGCCCACCATCCAGTCGGATTAAAAATATAACGTTGAGATAAGCCCCCCAACACTAGCAGATGTAGGGAAAGCGGTAGGTACTTTGAAATGAGAAAGTGCAGCAGGTCTAGATGGACTAGTTCCTGAGACATATAAAAACCGTGGTAGAGTGATTTTTGTCAAGCAAGCTAGTGTACGAGAGTCAAATATGGTCCCCTCTGACTGGCCTCAACCAGTGATTATCCCAGTCTTCAAGAAAGGCAAGAAATCCTCTTGTAATAACCGCAGAGGAATTAGCCAGACAAACATAGTTTCTAAAATTCTAGTTT